TCTTCAGCGTAATGCAGAAATAACTAAAACATTGAAAAAATGAACTAAAAAAAAATAATATAACCAGCTTGAAAACGTTGAATTGCAAACCGCAACTAAGCAAGTGGGGCACAAAAGCAAAGATTTTGAGCAGATAATGAATCAGGGAAGAGTTACACACCGCGCCCCTTTCTAGCATGCTCGAGCTCATATACATCTGCAATATAAACTGCTCCTAACGCAGGGACAGCTTCGAGTTACTGAATTTGAAGTGTGCCCGTTCGTGGACACTGATATGTTCCAATCATGTTGTGATGCATTTTATCCGACAAGGATCAGAAGGCAGAGATTAACGTTAGCGTGAACAGCGAATGGAAAGGTCAGAGAGCTGTGTGAGAGGCGCGAAAAACACAAATACGCTGAAAGGCGTCATTGAGCTAGGCCTTTTATGACCAGGAATCAGTAAGGGCCACGATCTTCAGCCACAGCCTGCAAACAAAAGGGCTTCAGGTTGATAAAAATTTCACAGCACTGCCAATGACCTCAAGATATCGAAGCAAAACTGCGTTGAAAGCAGTGGCGAAGGAATGCGAAAAGTAGATGACAGCGAACGCAGAAGATTAAGAGCTGGTTTTGGGGTGAAGTAAGCGCTGGAGTGGCGGATGCTAGATTTACCTTAGTGTTTTAGTATCGGAATCAACATTTTTGGACCACTTTTCCGCTTTGTAATAAAGATTTTGCATTTCTAAAATTTATACTTCAAAGCCTTTTCAGCTTAATTTTGCGCCTCTGTTGCGAAGCTTTATTCAGTTTTTCTGGTCAAATAATCCAGTTCTTGATCTAATTTCTGCATTGATGCAGATGATTTTGGAGTCCTTTTGGAGAAAAAATAAAAAGGGAGCAGTCGCACTTCTCTTGCAATGAGTCACCGGCATATATGTATTGCAAGAACAACTTCACTCAGCAAAGGTTAGCGAAGCAAGCTGCGAGTTCCAAGGAAGATTTTACAGGACTATAACTCGGCCAGTATAGCAGCTACTGAAGGAAAACTGGATTTGTTTTAAATCAAGAACTTTTTATAAACAGAACTGGAACCGACGCAGTGCTTGCTGAGCGCAGAGAGACAAAAAGGCGATAACTAGCACGGATTTGAAAGGAAAAAGAAATGAGATGCTAATTACTCGCGCCTTCTTATCCGGATCATCAACTTTCTCTTCCACAGCACCATAAATTTCGGTACAATTAATATTCATAGTTTGCATCTTTTCCGGAACTGCTCCAACATTTCGCTGATCACCTGCTCTGGGCCCTGCAAACATTTCTTATGCAAACGCGCATCACCAAACTGCAAATTGATTCTTATAAAATTTTTAAACTAGGTCTGAAATTTTGATGGATTTGTAATTATGCTATGTTCCACTAGGCGGCAAAAGATGCATTTCAGAATTGCATTCCATCAGATCAATATAGGTAGTATTGGTTTAGTTTATCAATGTAGGTAATGTACTGCGCCTAGCCATTCGTATCCAACATTGTATTAAGACTTGGTTTTAGTCCGCGTTTTCCGCCATTAAATTGGAAGAAATGAAAGAACCCTGCGATCTGTGAAGCCCGATTTGCGTATGCGATCTTATTGGAGGGGATTCACCTAACTCATGTTGCCTGCTCTCATAGTTAGTCCTTTCGCGGTCTAGGAGCGGCAGTAGACACAAAAGACATCTCAGAATGAGTAAGCCTTGCCAAGCGCTTCTGCCGGGAGAACCAGCGGGCTCGTAATCTATCTAAGAGACGAAAAAAACGTCAGGGCTGCCGACGGTTTAAGCACCAGGCTGACGCAGCACTGGTCAAAACTACGGAAAAAAAAAATGAATGTCAGCCCTGCGCAGTTTCCAATGGCCGACGAGACTGACGAGATGGAGCGGATGCTAACAATCTCAAAACATTGAGACCGTAGCACTCTTTTACTGAAGTGGAGACGGATATGTAGTGGATTTTATGTTGCTCAGTGATCCGCAAAATGTCAGGAATGATAGCCATGCTGTATGCGATACCGGGCGAAAAAACTTTATTAGCTGCGAATTGGAACCAGTGCTCAGAAATTATACCTAGCGATGAAGAAACGCTGACTTCACTGTACGTCCGGGCGTAACCAGAATTATCGAATGATATGATTTCTGCCGGATGGAGGAAATTGCTGTGATTTTTGCATCGATTCACAATAGAAAAAACACTGGGCACTTCTATTAAGAATTTGCAGCAGCCATGTGATGCACATGAACGTACCTTGTTCTGGGAGACTTTAAAACTAAATTCAGAGGGCGTGAAAATGGTGAATGATTTGAACTTAGCACAAGAAGTAAGGGATAGCAGATGCTGGCTGACATCGCAGAATCAGCTAGATTTAAGTGACCAATTCTTTCTCCCGAAAGCGCATGCGAAAACACTGGACACGACGAGTCGCCAG